TTTGGGTTTGTTGGCAGGGAGTTTCGTCCATTTATAAGGGGAAACTCTGCCAAAATTTTTATAAAAAATAAAAAAGATATTTTATTAAAAAAAAAAGTAGAAAACCTGATGGTGTTTCTTGTATAACCCTAGTACTTCAGCAGGAGCTAAAGGCTGGTGATGTGCTGCCAAATATGGTTCGGTGCTTGAATCTCCACCTATACAATTATTTTGTGTCCAACCAGAACATCGACCAGGGACAAAAGCTCCAATAATGTTGTGCCAATACAAAGTGTTTTATTAGAAATTTAGGATCATATTTATCGTATATTTAATTCAATTCACACATTATTTCATCCAAAAATTTCTAGTTGTAATTGCTTAAACTTAAAGGACCATAATGATCGAAACTCAACATATTAGGGAGCTGAGTGATGTGATAAAAAAATTCAGTTGGATTAGCATGATTTGCATTCTTAAAAAAAGTAATAATATTGATCAACAACAACAAGTCTTACAATTCATTCCTCTTCATTCTTCAATTATTGAATCAAAGCATAGAAACTGAATTAGGAAAAAAAAAAGAGCATAGAAACTGAATAAAGTTCGGCAAATGTTGTCTTCCACTTTGTTGCATCTTCGTAGTGGAATAGAGCTAAGCATGGCCACCTCATGTCGCTGCTGAATAATATGTGAACTTTTACTTGCGGAGGAATCTCTCAAACCAGTAAGAAGAGAGCTTACGGAATCTTTTTAAGGTACTATAGTCTACATAATTGATTCCAAAACGGACACTATATCCAGCACTCCACTCAAAATTGTCAATAATTGCCCATCCATAGTATGCCATCACTCTAACGCCATTTCTACATTTATATAAAACACAAAAATGAACAAAGTTTAGTGAAATAAAGCCCCATTAATGGGTTCAAAATATAAAGTTTAATTAACTTGACCAAGTAATTTGTTTCATGATTTTCACTGACGTATTTGAAGATACTCACTTGATTGCTTTTCGAACATACTGAAGGTGCTGATAGTAGTATCGGATTCTAAAGCTGTCTTGAAGAGCTTGCTTAAGTGGTAATGTGGGATTGTTTACTTCATCAACCCCTGAAAGAATAAGATATAAGTTAAGATTAATGCACATTGGGTAGCCATCATTGCCGGTTAATAGAGTAACATGTAGGAGTGCATGTGGTATGAATTATTCTTGTGATTTGATAAAAATTACATAAAAAAGAAGAAGAAGAAGAATAAGAAGAAGAAGAAGAGCACAAGAGAAGAGTACCGTTACTAAGAGAGCACATTAATAAAATTATATATATATATATATATATATATATTAAAAGGAGGAGGAGAAGAAGAAAAGTGCTGAGATGTACCATTTTCTGTAATGTAAATGATTGGATCTTTGTATTTTGTTTTTACATAGAGAAGGAGATCCCAAATCCCTTTTGGATAAATATGAAGCCAAGTTGAACCAGCCTGCATAGTCAGTTTCGAAATTTGCATGGAGTTATACAAAATATTTTCAAAATATCAATTGATTTATTAAAATTCAACAGTTGGAACTTGGAAGATATAATATAATTGTACGCTATTAAAACATTTTAATTACCTGTGCGCCAATGAGCTTCCCATTGCGGCTCGCTGACATTATAGTGCGCAACGTTAAGTTATTCAAAATTTAATAATAAAAATAAATAATGAATAAATTTCTTGTAAAATGTTTGCAAAATTTGAAACTATTTATGCTGCAAGCTGAAGTAAACTCACGTGTACGGTTAACTCGCTGGTCTGTGCTATAGCTTAAATTCACCTTATTTGGAGGAGTTGTAACATGGGCAGCATAATTAGCTGTGTAGTAATTTAATCCAAGAAAATCATATGACCCTATCAGTTCTTTAGATTGCTTTGGTGTAAATTTGGGAAGTCGGTCGCGGACAAGAATTCTCATTGAAGCGGGATAATCACCATATACCAAAGGGTTCATAAACCTGTAACACATGCCAATAGAAAATAGGTGTCAATATCTAGTTCTCATTGAATGTAGCGTTTTATTGAATAGGTGTTAGCTCTGTAGGCATGCACTCTTTTGTTTTTTGGCTAACCGCCCTGTTTGGCACTTGAGTGTTTTGCCAAATTTATCTGCTACAAGTTTTTTAAAAACTTTAGCTACAGTAATCTCAAAAAACTTTTCAAAGGTTTTAAAAAATTTTTAAACAATACATTTCAAAATATTAAAAAATTTACACACTTCAAAAATTTTTTAAAAAACTTTTACAGTAAGTTATAGTAAAGTTTTAGACAAACACCCAAAAAATTTACTTACCAAACGGGTCGGGAAGGGACACCACTCCAAAATTTATTCACAGGACGTAACTTTACAAGAGGAGAACTAGACGTTTCCTCATGTTGAACATGAAAATTTTAAGAAACCTTGATCTTTCTAATAGAAAGCATTCCTAATATTACACGAGAATATTAATCTGTGTACGCGGGGCATTTCTATAGGTAAGTGTTAAAATGGGGACTAATACAAGAAGTTAACATCCTACATAATTGTAGTATGTGGCTATCTAATTTGTAAAGATGTTGGTGAAAATAAAGATTATTCCAGACTTCAAAAACTCTTTGACATGCAGTAACTGGTTTAGCAAGCAAGTGATCAATTGGCATTCGGTAAGAGAGTTTTGAGGTGTTATTACCAAGAAAAACAATATAATTCTGAGTGTTCACATTCATATAATATTTTTATTTAAATTAGGTGCACCATTGGGTGCAGGCTGCGCACCAATTGGGAAAAACACTATGGTCAAAGAGAATTTTACATTGAAGATTAGGTATCCATTGGAAAGACGTTAAAGTAAAAATAATAATAATAATAAATTGCCAAGTGAAGTTTTACATCGGAAGTTAGATGCTTGGACAAAATCATGTTGAACTAGTACAACTTAATTGTATTTAAGCCGAGAGAGCCTTCGATTTCCTAAAGCCTCAATGAGGGCCGAAAAAACTTCTTTTTTTTTCGAAAGGGCTTTTTTTTTTTTTCGAAAGGCCATTTATATACATACTTTGTTAGCAATCTTCTTCATCAAACGTTTATTCGCACACTTACCATCCAAACATGAAATCAAGGGCACGAATGGCTGCCCGTTGATCAAGAGGTGAATTTGAAAATGGCACCATCCATTCAGCGACTAGTGTAATCCCAATTTGTCCTTTTTGGCGAGCCTAAACCATATGCACAATTCAATTAGTAATAGTAATTATGGAACTCAATATTGATTACGATCAAATTCTATGTCAGTTTGAATTAGAAGTGCAACAATAACCTGATACACTCTCCTGTATAATTTAACTACATCAGCATGAGCCAAAAGTTGGTGGTGTGCCACCAAGTAGGGTTCTGTCCCTGAATTTCCACCGGTGCAGTTATTATTCATCCAAGCAGAACATCGACCAGGAGCAGAGGATCCACTATCATAACCATTTGAACTAAAGGTCCAAGGTTCATTCAATGTGATCCAATCTTTCACTCGATCACCAAACCTCGCAAACAGTAGATTTGCGTAGTCATGAAAATCCTTTCTGGAAAGTATAAAACGTCATCAAATCCAAAAGCCAAAAGCATCTTGACTCTTACAGTATATAGAACACTATCATTGGATTGCATAAATGATTTCTTGGGCTGAATTTGATAGAATAGGGCAAGTGAAGGTTGTCTTCTATTTGGTTCCAACCAGTTGTTATATTTGCTATAATATTTATAGTGCGCAGAATCATGTTTTGCTATACTGGATATATGTGGAATAAACAAAATAACCTAAATTGTGTTATGTATGTCTATTTTTGCTCCTTTTTCGTTTTCCTTTTTTTGGAAAATAAACTATTTTGTGTTGTATATGTTGCTTGCTATCACTTCTAGACTAAATTATCACCCATGTTTAGAGTTCATTAATATCAATTAGGTTGTGATAGTAGTATTATAGGAAGAGGGATCTTGACTTACATAATTTTAGGACTCAAGAAGCCTCCATACTCTTCATCTAAGGCTTGGGGCAAGTCCCAGTGAAAAATTGTCACAATTGGCTTTAAACCTGTGCATTTCAAATTTCATTGGTTTGTCTATGTAAATACTTTAATTGACTCAATTTAGTGTTTAACTTTAATTTTTCATATTTAATTTTTGTTTCGTGTGATTATTTGATAATTTAAGTGGTACCTTGACCTTTTTATTATTTTGGAGGGTAAGTTAGTAATTTCACTACGTTAGGGCGTCGCTTCAAGGGAGGTACACTCTATCCTTCATTTGCACTTCATTTGACCCTACGTGCTCCTACGTGTTATGTGAATACGCATGCCTACTCCGCTTTCCTTACCTCTTTGCATGCATTTACTTGCTTTTTACTTTTATTTAAGTTTTATGGGGTATGTGTACACCTCTTGGCTTGTAATAGATAGGGCTCGAAGAGCATTTGGTCCATTTTCCCTTCCCCTTTATGCTTTTATGGGGTATGTGTACACCTCTTGGCTTGTAATAGATAGGGCTCGGAGAGCATCTGTCCATTTCCCCTTCCCCTTGGTTGCTTGTTTTTGTTGTTACGTGTTAAATTGCTTTAGTAGGCTCTTGTATCTAGTCGAGCATGCTAAGTGCTACGTGCTACGTGTTTACGAGCGTTTTGGCATGTCTACTTGCTTTCATAACCATGAATGAATGGAATTGATGAATGTACGTCACCACACTAGTCCAACGCTAGTTGTGGCTCATTATTTCATTAGGAATTCATAGAAAGGGCTAGTCCAACGCTAGACCCAATAGGATTTTTCCTTTGTTTTTCATTAATGCATTATTTGCCTGTTCACTACATATCAAGCATTTCCCTTAGTTTTATCATTTGGCATGCTCCTCGACTCCCTTTCCCCTCACTTTAGTTTTTGCATCCCATACTAGCTATAGGGTTCATTTTGCCTGAGCGTCCCCTTCTGATAAGGAAAACGAGCGAGTGTGGCTACTCGATAGCCTTAGCACGCTAGTTTTGCCTTCTAATCAAAGGGAAAATCAAGTCACGATTTAGGTCTCCCCGTACCCAATATGCATGAATTCCCTAGGCTCATGCATTCTCAATCCACTCTATCATTACACTTTCACTTTTGTCTCATTTGCACACATGCACCTTTTTATCACCTTCACTTGCACACGAACACTTTTTTGTCTCCACTTGCACACGAACCCTTTTATCTTTTATCTTCACTCGCACACGAGTACTTTCATCTACATTTGCACACCTTCACTCTTATCTTATTACTTTTATCATTTTTCTCACTTCACACAAACTCACACTTTCACATGGCATGCATTCCACTCATTTTTCACGTCATTTAGGTTTAGGTGTGACCTCTCCAAAAGGATCATTATTGGGCTTCACAATTAATGTGATTGGCACCACTCAACCTTTGAAGAGAAATTTCCCCCAATCCCCCTAGGTCTAGGTTTTTGCATTCATATAGACATATCCAATACGCGATACATACCTTGGGTAGAAAAATTAGGAAAAATTGGTTTGAGTCGCGCAACTAGCCTTGGCTAGGTCAAAGGGGTGCCTTGGATTCTATCCTTGCCTTCCCCTTTGTCAAACGTGACCCCCGAACCTTTTTCTTTGGCTTACGTGGACTAGGAGTCGTTTTAAAAAGGGTTTTACTACTTTGTCTTTAAAAAACACTTTTTTGGGTGACTTGGTACACCCCAAATCTATACCAAGTGGCGACTCCGTTTTCATATTTAAAAAACCCTTTTTAAAATTTCATTTGGCCAAATCGTCGCTTTCCAAAGTCCCATGGCCTTTTTACTTTTCATTTTGCACACGTTCACACCACACTTCACACACACATCATCTCATTCAAAAAGTGGGGCGCGACAGTTGGCGACTCCACTGGGGACAGTTGCCGTCTTTGATTTGTTGGCACTTGTGGAAAATGCGGAATAAGTTTGTGTTCGAGGGTCAGAGTTTGCCTGTTGCTATAGTCAGTGATAGAATTTTTTGTGATCTGCGAGACCTATTCCAGATTAGGTTTAAGAATACTGTTTCTTCTTGCCGCGGGTGGCCGAGTTTCTTTGAATCTGTGGCTGGTTTGGCACGTCGTTATCAGGTGCAAATTGTTCGTTGGCGGTGTCCGAAGCAGTCGGTGGTGAAGCTAAACTCTGACGGTTGCTCTAGAGGTAATCCTGGCATGAGTGGAGGGGGAGGCATCATTCGTAACTATGAGGGAAGGTTTCTGCTAGGGTTCTCATGTTTTTTTGGGGAGCTAACAAGTTTGCAGGCGGAATTGGAGGCGCTTCTTCATGGGATTCGGTTGGCCGTAGATCGGGGATACAGTGCTTTGCACATCGAATCAGATTCATTGGTGTTAGTTCAGATTATTCGGGGAACGGTGAGGTGTCCATGGCAGTTGCAACGAGGTTTACAGGAGGTGTTGAATGCTAAGGGGTTGTTTAGAGAGATTTCTCATTGCTTTCGGGAAGCGAATAGGCCTGCGGATAGATTGGCCAATGTGGGTGTGGACGCTGGGTTTAACTCAACATATGTTTCATTTTCTGAGTTGCCTTGCCTGGTGAGGGGTGATGTTAATCTTGATCGGTTAGGCGTTCCGAACATTCGTAGGAGTAGAGCTTCTTTAGCTTGTTAGGCAGTAGTTGGTTGCTGTCTCTCTTTGTACTCTTTTCAGTTCATAAATAAAGATTCAAGTGAAAAAAAAAAAAAAAAAAAAATAGTGAAGCCTTACGAGGAATTACTCTAGGCCAAGAAATTGAGAAGCGATAAGAATCTGCATTCATTTCTTCAAGAGTTTGATATCCTCCTGTCACACGAGAAAGATAGCATTGTAGACGCACTTCAAATTTTTTTTTTTTTTTTTTTTTTTTTGTGTGGCAACGATTGTAGTCAACGTAAATAAACAGAAATAACAGATTTTCTTTTCTAACTAGGTATATTTTTGCGGGGCTCGTTGATTTTCGTGCCCTATTTTTCCATGTATGATATTTTAGCTTTACTATTAACTTATTTCAGCCAAAAGATTTGGTTTGCATTACCTTATATCGATGGTAGGAGTCTGCTGCCACATCTCCGTTACTGCCATTTGAAATTTTACCTGTAGTTTCAGAATGGAGTTGGTCAGACTAGGCTACTAGTTTTGACAATTTTTTTTGTGCAACAATTTATTAGGATGTGATGAATAATTTGGAGAAGGGAGAGTGGTAATCATTAGAAGTGCGAAACTTAATAGCATAGACCAATGCTTTTTTTTTCTTTTTTTGTAGTAATTAATAATTAATAGGATAGATGGACCAATATACTAATAGCAATATTAAATTCTCGAAAGTATACGTTTTTCATGTAAATAACTTGCCCAAAATTGAATGCCCAATATTAGAAGTGGTTCACATCTGAGCAAACTATATATGTGACCATGTGTATATATGGATCTTTCAATTCTGCTATGCAATCTATATATTCTGAAGTAAAGAAGATCTGTGCTCAAGAAAATGACACGGAGCGTCCCTAATGCCTCCACGCTTAAGTGAGCGGGGGAAAAATCACTGTTTTAATGGCAAAAAAAGTTCTAAAACTGTAAACCTGGGAATTTGTGAGTGAAAACATCCCAGTTGCTTGGACCTTTGCCATCAATGTTCCAAGCGCCTTCAACCTATACAAAAATTTTGAGAAAGTCATAATTATTCTCAGCGTCGCAATTGTTGAATCCTTGTTTCACTTCCAACATTTTAGGAATGCTTACAGAGGAGGGGCCCCCAAAAAAAAAGGAAGGAGAAAGATAATAAGAACTTTTTAGAGATAATTTAGTGATGGTAATGTTGTCTGGTCGATGATTCCCTCTCTTACCTTCAAATAGGCAAAAATTTAATAATTAACAAAAAAAATGAGGTACTATAATTAAATAGGACGAGATAAAATGAAGATTCATAAAAATTATGCTTTGACCTCTTAAGCATAACAAATATTTTAGAACATCTAGAAATGAGAAGCATGACTGACTTAATGGGAACGAAAGCTAGAGTCTAGCATTACAATAATGACCAATTGAATGAGCACCTGAACTACATGTATACTACATATAAATAGATCACGAACCTGATAAGCAGAAGATGCAGCCCCAAAGATGAACCCTTTGGGAAAACTGCTCCGGTTGAGTACATCTATACCAAAGCTTGGAGATAAGGGGACAGCACTACGATCAATTTTATTTAAGGCACGAGCACTTGGAAATACTCCACGGTGTTGGGCATTTGCTGCAAGCACATGAAAAGTAACTAGAAGTGCAGCAAGAAGGAGATGCCCAAGGAATTCCATAGCTTGTTTTACGGTTGCAAATTGCTAGTCGAGCACAAGCTATATATATAGGGGAGAAGGAGTGAGCTTCCTTCTAGGATGGAATTTCGTCGGATTTGACATTGTTATGAACCATAGGTTTTTCGTATTCACTAATGCACGTTCAGGTTCAAGCACATGCAAAACCATGCTCGTGATCCCTGAATACATGGGAAGCTTCGATGCAAGAAGATTAGGTCAACACACATTTGTAGAATAAAATAGTTTTTTTTTCAAGATTTCTTTCAGTTTCAAAACTCGATGCCAAATGACCATTTAATGTTTTCTGTTTGACAAGTTCGATATATATAATGCTCAAACACTAAATTTTCTGTTATAATGCTCAAGATATTGTCAAACATAGTTTCTTGTTCTTTTTATTTTCTCTTATTTTTGGTAGAAGTTTTTTCTTTTCTATTACTTTGGGTAGAAGGTATACTTTTAACATTCAGATTTCTAGAGGAAAGTATATAATTCTTCTCTTAATTTCATTTTATTTTCGAAAAGATTAAGGAGAAAGGGAAATGACCTCATTCCAAGCCAAAGTTAACGTTTTTGTACCCAAAAAAACTGAAAAATCTTAAGGACATGGTAGAACCTTTTTGCATCAAAACTCTGTAAATTCTTTTGCACCTTGAATTTGGATGACAATATTATTCTTTTGTGAAAATTGAGTTGCTTTTTTGTGCAAGAATCAAGATTTACAAAATGTTGAAAAAATGCATCAACATATGAGAGGCTGGCCAATTATGTTTTTTAATTTACAAATGATGACTAACAGATGTATTCCTCGAAAGAAGTAGAAGGTAGTGCGGAGGGGTTTGAACTGTCATTATAATTTTAAACTCTTGCCTCAACAAAAATTTGAAAATGTGTTATGTTATATACTTAAGTTTAAATTTGTCAAAGTTTTGTTTGCCCCATAAAGTATATTTCTAGTTCATTCTGTAGGTACAGTTGAATTTTCTAGGCTTGATATTCTATGGATCGTGTGGATTAGGTGTTTTTAATAGTATTTTGAAAAATTACACTATAGTGTTTTATTTGAAAACTTTCCACTATAGATGAATCGTATGGATTAGGAGTTTTTAATGGTATTTTGAAAAAAATACACTATAGTGCTGTATTTGAAAAACTTTCCACTATAAATGAACCGTACGGATCAGGTGTTTTTGAAAAATTATACTTTAGTACTGTATGTAAAAAACTTTCTATTGCAGATGAGTCATATGGATTAGATGTTTTTGAGGTGTATTTAAAAAATTACACTATAGTAGTGTATTTGAAAAATTTTCTACTGTAGATGGGTCGTATAGATTGTGTGTTTTTTGGCAATGTATTCTGCTGTGCTTTTTATTGGAGTATTTTTTTCAATTTTATTAATTTCCATCACCATCCATTAGATACCACCACCTTCCTCACCTCCTCTATCCTCCACTGCTGCCACTATGGGTGACAATTTCTGACACGACCTAAAAGTACAACGTAAATCTAATACAAAATTAATGTGTTGGGGTTGAGAATTCGTAGGTTCAGGTCAGAATCTGGTCGAACCCGATGAATTCGAAAAGAAAACAGGTCGAATTCAGGTTACCCATCGGTTGACCCGATAACCTGTTTATGAATTAAAAATAATTTAATAAATATAAAAAAAATTTATCTAACTAAACTAAGTTATTTTTTTTCCCAAAGGCATTAGATACTTACTCCTAAATGAATTTGTTTAATTTGTGTGAAGTTGGAATTGCTATATTTGGACAAATTATGTATTATGTTATTTCTTACTTTAAAAATCTCTTAATTTATTTCAGATTTGGCTTGCGATAAAATACTGTTACGGTGTTTTAATTTTTAATTTATTTCAGATTTGGTTTGAGATTATTTTATTGAGATTTTTAGTAAATGATTATATAATTAGTCTTGGGCAGAATTGGTTTTGTTAGAAATTATAGCAGTAGATTAGTAAATTGGAATTATGTTTCTGGTCATTCGGGTGACCTGCTAACCTAAAAATCTTGTGTTCGAGTCAGGCATATTGACCAGTCAAAGGTTAGTGGGTTGTGTTCGGGTCAACGGATCTCCTGTTATACCCAATTCTTGACTTGACCCGTTAACATGTTTTTGACTCGATTGCCACCCCTAACTGCCACACTCTCCACCCCTCCTCCTCCCCCCTTCCTCACCCTCCCCGTCCTTCCTCCCTCCTCCTCCATCCCCTCTTGCTCTTTAAGATGCAATTCAGTGGGATGAAGTCCAGATACAGCAATGTCATCACTCTTTCAAGAACACTTCTCTGCGGAAAATCAGGAAACTACCTGCAGTTATTTCCAACTTTTAAGATGTATTGAATTTAGATGCAAGCATGAGGTTTTATTTTACACCAGGCTCATTTTTTTACTGTAACATGTGTGCATTTTGCACGAAGAATATTATAACTGTTAAAAATATAAGATCCATTTTAGGAATCTGTTGACGTCGAATTCCAAAGAAACACAAATCTTTAGTTTCTAGGCACTATCCTGTACCATTTTTAGTTTTCGACCATGTAGCGGTATGTTAACAAGTATTATTTAATTACAAGATTGTACAATTAGAAATAAAAACGAGGGTGACCTTTGTTTACGTTTGAGATTTGATATGCAAGTACTAAATTAAGACTACTAACAATTCACCAGTGATAGTATTTATAAATTTCAGTTGGTTGTGTATTCACCATAGACTTCTTTAAGGAGTTGCATGGCGAGAAAAGAAGAAAGAAAAGAGAAAACAGAAGAGAGCTAGAAGATAGAGATGAAAAACGACAATAATAAAAAATAGAGAAAACGCGATTGGTAGGATCAAAAGTGAAATCAACATGATTTGTTTTTGCTGGCCGTCAGCTGGAAAAGCTCGAATTTAAGTTGTAACATGAATGCAACTTGCACGAAGAATATTATAACAGTTAAAAATATAACGATCTATTTTGGAAATTTGTTGACTTCGAATTCCAAAGATACACAAATCTTTAGTTTCTAGGCACAATCCAGCACTAGTGAATAAGAAATTAATGGTTATACGATCGAGGGATTCGCCTGATTACCTCCTTTATTTCCAATCGGTTCATCGTGCTCGAATTTTTCAAATGTTTTCCATATCACATCTTCTCCAGCTGTCTTCAGTTGAGCGTCCAATTCGCGGCCGGCAGCGTGATATCCCTATACTTCCACTGATTAACAATCTTTGATCAGTTCCAAGGAGCCAGTGCAATATGTTACATAGAAAAACATATTTTGTTACAATAACATATAAACATAATCGATGTAAACAGACATATATGTGTTGGAAATTAGTTTGTAGTATGAAAATTGATCATGACTTGTGACATGATCTTTCTTTTCATGTCTAGAAGTTTGATTTTTGAATTTTCTATAAGATTCATTGGTACATTGATGTATCGTTTCAAGTTCATTAGTTCATTTATGAAATCACTCAATTCATATATTTGGTGTACTAAATTCATAAATGAATATTAAGTGAAGATACATTGATTTATCTTCTTAAGTTCATTAGTTCATGGAACTATTCAATTCATGTACTTGAAGTACTAAATTCATGAATGAACATTAAATGAAGATACATTAAGTTCATTAGTTCATGTATTTGGTATACTATATTCATAAATGGACATTAAGTGAAGTTCATGTACTTTTACTTTTGGTTTGCCTATAAATAGAGGTAGTCTAAGCCTCTCTTGAAAAAAAACTTGTGCTTAGACTATCTTAGATTTGCAAAACCAACTGCTTGCATCCCTTTCTTGTGAAAACTAAACTTAAACTTGCTATAGGCTAGTTTTTGTTTCCATTATATCTTAGAGGTAATTTGCCATCTTAACTTGGTTACACTACAAGAAAATTGGCCTTTTGTGACAACATTCTCTGTGACAACAGAGAAACTTGTCACAATTGAAAACTTTAGTGACGAGTTTTAATGTCGTCATAGTTGATTGTGGGTTCACCCGTTAACAGTGACAACATGGGATAAGTCGTCACAATATGGATGGTGCGCAACTAGCCAGTGTGGCGGGAGATCACTATTGTGACGACTGGAAAATAGATTGTCATTGAAATTGGTCCTACAGTGATAACTTAAAATATCGTCACAATATAGTTGTCAGTTCTAAATTAGTGACAACAACTAGTCGTCACTGTCCAAAGTGTTTATTCCCAACTTACTTTCACTAATTCTACTATGTCACCCTAATTTTTTCAATATGGCATATATGTTGTAAATAAATTTTATTAATTCTACTATGACACCCTAATTTTTACATTTTAACCCCACATACCACTTTAATTTTTTCAATATGGCCCATATGTTGTACATAAATTTTATTAATTCTACTATATGACACCCTAACTATTACATTTTAGCCCCATATGCCACCCTAATTTTTTCTATATGGCCCATATGCTGTAAATAAATTTAATTAATTATGTTATGACAACCGAACTTTTATATTTTAGCCCCTTATGTGGTAAACTAATCTCATTAACTCTACCATGACACCTTATCTTTTGCAATTTAGCCTCGTACGTGATAAACCAATTTTATTAATTCTATTATGGCACCCTATGCTTTACACTTTATTTTGTGTTTATCATTGGCAAAATAAGGAAGGTATTGTAAAAAAAATGTATACCTATTTTTTAATTATTCCAAATTTAGCTAATACCTTGTTATAAAGTTAAAAAATATCATGAATTCATTATTTAGTTCTCTTGACAACATATGGAAAATTACTGATTAACATAGTGTGAAAATAATGGCAAAGAATAATAAAATTTAATATGAAATTAAGTAAAAATCTTGACAATTGCATGACTGGCGTTTGTTATGTATTACTCCCTCCGTCCCATTAGAAGTGTCATGCTTTCCTTTTTAGTCCGTCCTAAAATTAGTGTCACTTACCAATAATGGTAATAAAAACTTTCACCGATTTCCAC